TAATTTTTGTATTAGCTCCTTACTTGTTGAGATCTTACCTTCGAAGACGGGTATCCGTGGGATAAGGCGAGGTGTGCATTTTTAGGGTCGACCTTTTCTAACCCCACCCCTCCTTGTGGGAAGGCAACATCGCTGTTATGCTGGTTGCCTTAGGGAAACACCTTACTGCCGTCACACCTCTGTACAGTCAGCAGTACGACTTCGCCCTCGAATCTAGGATTTGCTGCTTTTAGTCTTACCGCTCTTCAACCGACCTGTCTGGCATGGTAGGACCTTGAGGAACGATTGTTCCAGCCAGTATAGCTCGATTGGTTCATCACGATAGGCAAGCCCGACCACCACGTTAAGGTAGCAGCAACGGTCGGGGAATGAGCAGTACCATTAATAAAAGGTCATTGGGCTTTTGGAATTTCAGTGGCTTGGTGGGTTGAAGAGTTAATTTCCAGCTAACACGTTTCCGGTTCTAACCGCATTTCATCTACTTCAGTTATTTCAGCCGGATAGTGTCGTAGCATTACACTAAAAGTGCGATCAAGAGTCAAGTACAAAAAAAAAACACGTTTGGAAAACGAGTTAAGCTAATAGGAACTCCATAAACACACACTACACGACATAAATATGGATTAGCAATTAATTAATTTAATAGGTTTAATTACTTTACACACATTACTCTCTAAAGCTCTTCAAAACAGCATGTTAAAACTACATGTGCTTCTTTAAAGTGAATATCATGGGACAAAAACTATAAACACTAATCAGTTATTCAAAAGCTCTCCAAATAGGTAAATCCGTTACTCATTAACTTTAATGGGTTAGTATTAGGAAAAGGTGACGACTCGGTTGATGGGGTAATAGATCCTCATCAACTGAAATGATTGGAACATGTATTATATATGTTCAATCACTTTGATGGATGATAGTCGTTTGGTGTAGAAGTACGTTAGAAGAAGGCTATGGTGGCCACACCAAAACGTGAGCATCAGTTCATGTAGTTATTGACTGTTAGAAATCTGTCTCAAACATTCTTCTATTGTTAATTAAGAGTTCGATGGAGAATCTTAGTGGGCAGCCTATGCTACTCCACGAGGGGTAACAGGCATAAGTAAATATATTTGAAAGTACACAGATGATATAACATTTTAGTTCAATTAAACTGACTTTTGACGGTTCATTTTTCGGTGGTCGATTCAAAAATAATTCTACTGAATTATTTCTGATTAGATAAATAGGTACTGGCAGGTAATAAATGTCACATATATTATACATTTGAACGTGAGTCAAACTGTATAAGCTACTTAAAACATACTTCATTTATCCATGTAATAGTACAGATAATGTACTGAAAGGTGTTAAATATAGATTTGTACTTTTAAAATTGTCATTTTAATAAATACATTTTACCAATTCCGGTGTACCTAATTGAAACCTTGTGATAAAAATTAATATGAGGAAATAAACTTCACATTAACATTGTAGTAATTTACAATTGACCGATCACTGAGTAGTGACTAATGTCATGTATGTCAGGTCCTTCTTAGTGTAGGTTGAATTCTATCGATCAAGTTGCAACGTGACTCCACATTTCGTGTACTATTTAGAGGTATGAGGTAGTGGTTGGTATCCTGTTGACTACCAACCATCACCTTACACATTATAGCCAGTATGTTGAGCAACTCGAATATTACACAACAATCTGTGGAAGTATCTTTCATACAAAACAAACTATTCCTTCAATTTCTGAGTGCAATTCCGATTTCAGGTCTCACTGTCTTGACCTTACAGATAGACTGAACTTAAATCAAATACTCTAACCCAATTTTTTTATGATCAATCAACACAAAAAGTTGAATGATATAATGAATTATTCTTAGTATAGGGATTGGTGGCAATTGCTGGGTGTCAAACCAGGAGAGAGTGAACATCTATTCTGCCCCAGAATGGGACGCGGCTGTAGTGTGTGTCTATAATACTACTGCCAGGGTTAAAACTAAGGATTTAAGGGCTAAGGGTCTCATGGCGAGCGTTTAACCTTTAAAACACTGAGCCGTGTAACCAAGGTTGGCACGTCACGTCGATAATATTATAATTTATAGACTTTACATACGTACACCAGTGATCATCCAAAAGGATAATTTTAGATGATATTTATCAAATTTAAAAGTTAGACATGGAAAGAATTGCATTTTTAAAAACAAGCTTATATGAAGGGATATACAACAGTCGAGAAACTAATAAAAGCCAATCGACGTAAACAACATTGAGCCTCTTTATGGTACCAAGCTTAGAAACAACAAAATAAAACTAAGGGGATAAAAGACAACAAGATTTTCCATGAAAGAACAAAGATAAGTGAAAAGCGAAAGATGAAACGCATCAGTTGCTATAAATGATTTGTGAAATAATGATCTTATGAGTTATGAATGTTAAACGTCGATGAGTTCTCGCTCTTCCAAGACGGCAGCTAATCAATCATCAATATTTCAACTTTTCCTTAATTAATGCTAACTGACTAAGTATATGGAGGATAAAGTAAGTGTGAAGAAGCAACATATTGGTACAACTAAGCTTTCTATGAACAAAAAAATAATGGGATCCTCAGTTTTGATTTTTTTAAACTCTTTGTTGAAAGCGTGAGTCAATTGAAGCTAGACCACTGTTATGATTTGACCTAGCCGTCGCCAATTTGTTGTTTTTGACCTAGGCGGTAGTCAATTGTTATGACTTGATCAAGGTCGTCGCTGATTCGTTATGACCTTACGAATTTAACAAGGACGTAATTCGCGTAAATTATCCACCAATAGAATACGCCTTCTACGGCCTTCACACTGTGACAATGACGTTCGATTAGTATGAGTAATCTAGCGTCCTTATTGGTCCTTATCCGCCTAACCCGTCCACTTGAGTCCAAAACACCAATAGCAGCTTCTGCAATGCGAATCGTTTATTTCAAACATACTTTATCTATATACCAGACAGGCAGACCACACCATAAAATAGAAAATAATATTTGTACAAAACCAGGCCAAATGAGGCTGTAAGCGTGGGAGACAATAATCAATAAAACTGAGCATAACATAGGGACAGTAAATCATACAATAATAATCAATAGGTCAAAATGAAGCTTACAATAAAATGAATATATATATAGATAATCTAGTTACCGAATAGTTATACAATAAGAATGATAGTCCAATAGTAGGTCCTGCAAGTTACCCGTACTTATGTCTTCGCTACTACATAACACCTCCCCTTTTTTGAAAATTCGAAGATTAGCTTCTGATTTTAAAAAAATTAACTGTAAGTTGAAATTCCCCAACATTTCCTCCCCCACGAAATAATGTTGGATCCTCATATTTCCAAAATACAATTAGTATGACTTTATTTAGGACATATTCCTCGTATTGAACGCAGAATCTACTAGAAATGAATAGATGATGATGAACGATATTTGATTTTAGGTTATCGGAATTCAGCTTTTCTGAAATATCTCCATCAAATTCATTAAAATTTTCACTAGAGGATATTAGATAACTAGGAGAACCGGCATTTAATAAAATTGCATTAGATTTTTTATCACCATCTGATTCGACCGACTTATTTTTCTCATCTTTAGACGAAATTTCATCAGAGTTATGGACATCATTACGCGAACCCATATTATAGGCTTCTGTCTCCCCATGATTTCGAATCACATTTGGCGCAATTTGGTTAACTGTACTGTTCCAGTTATTTTATGGATGCGTTCTCCCAGTTTTCTTGGCCAACATTACGCAAACTGTAGTTCTGTTCTGACTTAAGTTTGTCTTCAGATATGGGCGGACTTAATGGTGTTTCATTTGATTCTGGACTCCGGGGGTTGTCTGCGGAACCTTCTTTTTCTTGCTAATCTGATACTGTCACAGTTTCATGTGCATTAGGCAAGATATTGTCTTGCTCTGAACCGGCCAACTTACCAATTTTGCATTTTCCGTCAGATATAAAGGGAATTGAACCCTCAACTTGGCATTCTTCGGAGACGGCCATTTCCGCACCATTATCTGCATTATAAATAATTTCTTTATTTCCTGAGACGTTTTGTTTGGTGAAAAATTTGTCCAAAAATGTTTCAAATAGTTTCTGCTGGAAGCTTAATATCTGCTGATGCTGGTGCTCTAATATTATCTGCAACTGTTCCAGAGAAATCGTCATTTTTTAACTGCTAATAATAATAATAACTCCAAAAACCGCCGGCAATTATTGCAGCTTATTTAATTCCAAAATACGTTACCGACTGCTGAATTTTTTTGCCAAAATCACGTCCCAATTCTTGTTTTTTTTCTTTACCGAAATCCCCGTCGCCAATTGTTATGACTTGACTCCTCGGCAGTACGTATCCACGAACCCGCCTTGTGAGATTCGGACCCAGGACCTACCAGTCTCGAGCCAGGGCCCTTAACCGATAGACCACTGAGCTGGCCGGCATTCAACGGTGTTAATGTCTAACTTCAACCAATCCACGAAGTTGAGCAACCGTTCACCAATTGTCTTCAGTGAGTTGATATGTCACGACCGACGTGGTTTGAACTCAACTGGTCAATGCTTCTCACTAAAACTCTTGGATGTACTTCTGGAAGTCAGTCACTAGTGAGCATATGATTATATTCATTATCAGAAGGGGTTTTGTAGAGATTTAGTATTTTCATAGTTGAAAGCGTGAGTCCCATAATAGGACGAAATGGCCGTCCAGTGCTTCCAGGTTTTCCATCGTAGTCTAGCTTCAATTGACTCATGATTTCAACTATGAAAATACTAAATCTCCACAAAACCCCTTCTGATAAACTCTTTGTATCAGTTGGAATCACAAACGTCAACATATGCAATATCGTATTCATTAAGTGACAGTATAAATTAAATAAATATTTACAGACCAACGCAGTTAAATGCACTAAATTGCAAATCGTATATATAATACATACATTACACACAAAAAAACGATTGAAGTCAAATAAATGTTAACTTGCCTGAGATAACTTTCTTAAGCATAAATCATCCATTGGTCTATGATTATTCCCATTGTTAAAGTTAATATCTTCAAAAATATCATATGCATCAGTTACCAAACAACTATATTCAGAATTAATATTATTATTATTACTATCCACAGAATTATTGTTTTCATCTTTATGAGACAGCTTAATTGCAACAGGAGCTGTTGGCTTTGATTTGGTAAATTGTTCATCTTCTTTGTGAATATTATTATTATTATTATTATTATTATTATTATTATTATTATTAACGTTAGTACCTGTTTGGCCAGAGACTACTCTACTTTTGTTATCTATATTATTATGAATACGTGTATTACTTTTATCAATATTAGTGATAATCACACTATCTAGCATTAAATTGCCAACGTGTCCATCATCACTATCGCTGTTGTTATTATTAGTAGAACAAACAGGATTTAAATGTCCTACATTCTCTGTTGCTGATGTTGATGTGCAAGTACGAGAATAATCACTGACACGTCCAGAATCAGATAATCCTAATAAATATTTATCATGGCCATCATTGTTAGATGTCATTGGTGGTGGAATACGAAACGCCCAACCCGTTGCATTTAATGATGAACTTAATCGATATGCTAAGGACGCTGAATCATTTGACATAAGAGAAAATGATGACTGATGAACCTGAGTTGAGGACGAAGGAGATGTATTCAAATGATGATGAAGTTGATGATGGTGGCGGTGTAGAGGAGGAGGAGGGTGTGAATGACGATGACTATGCTCGAAATCCGTACACGTTTCTTCATTAGGATCAATTAAATCAGTTGTCGAAGATTCAAAAACACCTCCATCAGTGGATGATAAAGAATTAGACGCATCAATCAGTGGGAAGTTTAATGAAGATTTAGATTTTCCATTTTCACCATGACGATAGTCACTTAAACTAATTGAATGCGGCTTTGAATAATTTAAATTTGTGTCTGAATTATTACCATTAGCAACAGAGCTTGTCGGATACAAAGGATATAACCATTCAGCATCCCAACTGTTATCCTTAAATAAATGTACCAGTTCAATTATCACTTTGCCTTCTTTGTATCGTTGACTAGGTTCAAAAGCACGTTCATACTTCCAACCTAATGCTGTATCACAGCATGCACAAAATATGTCAGCTACAAAATGCAACCCGGTCAGAAGAACACGTTGTTTAGCTTCAGCGCAACGAACATTTACAGCCTAAGGGATGAAAAGGCAAAATACATGTAATAAACTTAGTTAATTTAGTTTACATAATTAGAATTATCCAACAGTTTGCGCAAAAAGTATGAGAGAGAGGGTAAGATAATTTGTGCCCTAGATTGAATGATAGTTTTTGATAATAACCTTGTTGGAACCTTACATCACCCTCGACATTTCCCAAGGAACCTCTATATGTGAAGACTTGGCAACACCAATACTTCAGTAATTTTCTATTTGTTTGACAGCGCAACAAACTTTATAGGCTATTGTTTTACAACGAAAGATTTAGATATCTCTAGTGTGACCGAAATTTCACAGATGTAAGAGCCAAGATCCTGACTTTTCATCTAAAAGACAGTAGTTACACTCATTATTATTTAGTAATACTGAGATTTTTGTATTTTGGTTATAACTACTTCCCTGAACTTGATACATACCATTACTCTGGTCCTGACAGAAATTAAGTACCCTCTTTCAAAAAACCATTCAAATTCTATAAATGTTAAGTGTTGAGTCAGTTGAAAACCAGAAAAATAATGAACGCCTAAAACGAATATTTATTTGGTGTCCACATAATGGTTTTAAGTTGACTAATACAAATAACATTTAAACAAAGAGAAAAACCTACCCCTGCGAGGTGACATAACAGTCAAATTGAAATAATTTGGTCCACTTTAAAAGCCTATCATTTCCAAAATATAGTGTTATACTTGCTTTGGCTACACCACAGTCGAAGCTAGAATACTATGTACTGATTAAATGCTATGAACTACCTGTGACAAATACGGAGAGATAAATTACACTGTTGAACAGCTGGAGGCATCAATCGAAGTAAAAGTACTGGACATATTTTCAGGTTGCCAAGGGTCATAATGAAAAGACAATGAAACCAAGTCCATAGCTTGGCACAGAAATTTAAGCAGTGAAATCACACTAGTAAGGTGAAGCGGTGACCCTAAGGTTAAGGCGCTTGAATTTTTGTCAACAAATTGCAAGTTCACACCGTGATTCGTCTAATTCGGTTTGGTTAACTCGGTAGCATCGCTATATCTAGGATTTAATGTCAGATGAAGCCAAGTACATGAATTTTTACTTAATAAGTAAGTTAGATCATTTTTATTCATTTGTTCAAAACTTTCTGACCCTAACACTCTTGGAATAACTATCGCTGGATGAGGCACCTAATAGGACCGAGACAGATGAAAACGAAGGGAATTTGAGAAGGTTACACAAGCACTGACCAATGATACACTGTTTGTAACTACAATTAGTAGAAGGCAAAAAATAGGAAAAAAGACGGTTATATAATGTCATAATATTAAGGGCTTATTTTTACGACGGTTACCTTTGTCAAGCAAGTTCCTCAAGTGTTAAATCAAAGTACTGGCTTATCTATAATCAAATCAAATAACACTCGTTCTTCACTATTTTATCTAATTTTAAAGTGTAAAGTACTATAATTAATACAAGAATATGAAGAAACACAGTCAAAGAAAGTAAAAACAAACCGTATAGTTACGAGAAGCGTAAAAAATGAATAATTGTGAGAAACAAGTAAGATGAGTACAATTGCTTTTATTGGTACTTGAATAAAATCAGGCTATACGAAGTTCAAACTGAGTCAATGGTAGACGTTCAAAAGAAAACACTATTAGTCATGTAAGTTATAGACATCCGTAACGATGGCTATGAATCCAGAAATAATTACATGATTACCGAGTTTAATTATTATGAAGTTGTCAACCTAAACTATCAGTTATATGACAAATAATCTTCAAACAAGGATCTTAATTAATCTTAACAAATTCAAAGAGTCCCATAGATGTCCTACAAAATGGAAAAGTCTACACAAAACCGCTCGGAAACTAAACATTAATCAAATATAAACCAAAGTTGACGATCTGCATAAATGTAGTAGTGCAACTACATTGTGTGTTAAAATCATTTAAACCTTTGAATGCTGGTAACAAATAGAATCTGGCTAACTGAAATTCGGAAGCAGGATATGCTTTTAGACATAGATATCATAGATTTACTTGAAATTCAAATTAATCAGACTACTTAAAGTAATTTGTGAAGTAAGTTTAGTGGTCAAGGTATTCGGCTTTCCTTCATTGGACTATCAATTTGCATTCCACATTCCCTAGTTAGGTTTACGCAGCTGAGCACTGTTACTAAGCTTCAGAATAAAAAATAATACAGCCTTATCACATCAATGCGGTTATAAGTGGAGTACATAAACAAGTACTTTGTAAACTCACTACTTTACTTAAATAAAAATGAAAGGTAATGTAGTACAGTCAAAGCAGTCACTAAAATTACAACATTACAATAAAAATCCTTGGGTGTTCTTCCTGTAACATATGAGTTATCTCAGAAAATACTAACTTATCAAACTAATCTTTGGTTATAAGGTAAAGTTAATCAACTGTTCCAATGTTTATCCCATGTTCAATGGAGTAATAGACAAAAACCTTGACTGGAACCGACTAAACCGCAGAGTATCAGTGTTTGGACTCACAGAAGAGATCAGAGCCAATTGGAGAACACGAAACGAAGCCCATAAATAAGCAAATTAAATCCCTCACTCAAGCATAAAATCACCCAGATATTTGTTAATATACAGCAATATTGTCCTACAAAAAGGACGTCAAAAGTGTTTCAAAAGATAAGAAGACGACTACTTACCTGATTAAATAGATAAGCTCGACCTTGACTTCCCTGGAAAGATTTACTTATGAGATCGTCATGACGAGCTAAATGTGCACGACAATGAAGGCAGCTGTATGTCAAAGAATTCTTTTCAAATGGAAAGTAAGCCTGGAACTTCCCTTTGACCATATCAATGACAATAATTTCCTCACATTATGGAAAAACAGGTTGAATAACACAAGAAAGCAGTTAGCTGGTCAACGCGAACCAAAGAATTATGAACACGAAAAAGACGCTGAAATCCAAAGCACAAAAACGGACGTTACAAAAGTAGGGAGAATATAAACACGAAAGACGAAGAAGCAGATGTTATAAACTTACAAGCTCGTATAATTCAATGGGGAAGAAAGAATTTTTGTTGGGTATGTTGACGACAAATATATATTATATACCCGAAGCAATCCTCACAAGCAAAATTTTTTTCTCCCTTTAGTTAAGCCAAATGATATGACTAGTTATTTATCTACAGTTGCCTACAAATACCTAAGCTAAATTGATTCCCATTTAAAATTGCAAACAAGTATGCATAAGCATAACTGAAGTAAATAAACAATGCAATATCCAATATCTTAGTGACAAGCTTGTATGAACCAAGTACTTTCTTTGCATTCATTTATTGATGTTATCACACCATTTCAGGTAGTATGGACACTCATCTGCACTATTTGAAATGAATTCGACAGTTACTTGTGAGTTTGTAGTTGTATTTATTCTCAACCACACGATTCTTCAAGCCAGAAATAAGATGAAGGAAAAGATTCACATCCAATTTTTAACTCTTGGAGAAAGTCAGTGATGGTGAACGCGGGAAGACCTAACCAGCATGGAATAGCTCCGCCAAGCATGTGTGGTCACTCTGTGTAAATTATTCCTTTACAAATCAAATATATTATTGTATCCTCTGTTCCAATGTGTTCCTCAGGAGTGCTAAACATTATTACGCTGACTGTCACAATAGGACGAGTCAGTGTAGACAATGATGTGGCTTTCAATTGAGATCTTATAAATAAGGTAGTCACATAGCAAATCTACAATTCTAGGACTTGGCCAATTGTTTTAGTAGTAAGGATAAATGCGGTTAGTACTCAATTAGACCATACTTCTGCATTTTGTATATCTTAGGTTTAGGAAAATACATTACTGTCTTTGCAACTATTATCTCCTACAATATCAGACCGTAGATAAACTTGTTATGATATCAAAATTATTATATTGGAATGCCGAAAGGCAATGGGAAAGCGGTGGTCAGAACTAGGCTAATTAGTTACGTGAACATTAAAAATAAATGAAGCGAAAGATAAAAAAGGAATAGAACTTTCGATGAAGGCCTATTCTAACAATTTTTCTTAGCTAAACTTACGCAACAGATGAAAACAGTTCCCGTATAGTTTTTTTACAAAAAAACAAAACACAATTTTTTTAATCACTTTGTAGCTGTAAATAATTCCCCAAAATCAATAGTTCATTAAGTGTTCGACATTGGATGCTGACCATGTTGTTTAAGTGGACTTGTTTAGCTGAAGGCTTTTGGTCATGCATCCGCACCAGATCACGTTTCAACACGGCGTGGGACACAGCTCCTACGTTTCATTAGCCAGCTTATAGAAAAGGTCCTCGATATATTGGTAATGAATCAAATATATCTTTCCTGCCTCTTCTCGTCTGACTTCTGATTTCTATCTGACTGGGAACGATCGAATATAGAAGGTGCTACTGGTAGCTAGTTGTAAAACTAGAACATCCGTTGCATCTTCAACTTTCACGCTGTCGCAAGCGTATTGGTTTATTTACCTCCGTCCATCTTGTGTCTTCACGCAAGTACGAGCGTATTTAGACATGCACTTACACGTTCTATTTTTTTCTTTTCCAGGACGGCTGGAAAAGAACGAATAAGTTTAAGAGGAACCGAAATTTTCATTGTACTTTGTTTCGTTATTACTATATTGTACTCCATGGCCCCTTATAGTGAGGAAAGACGACCAGACGCTGCTAGGCATAGCAAGCTATCATAAGAGTGTCTACCAGCGACTAACTCGTTGGATTTAAACTTTTGACTGGCCAAGTCGTAGGGTCATCACTACCTCACTAGGGGAGGGGGATGATCTGTAGCTGTTAATAAACCCCCAAAATCATAGGCTCTGTAAGTGTTCGACATTAGATGCTGACCACATTAGTTTTGATGGACTCAGTTAGCTGAAGGCCCTTGGTCATGCATCCGTGCCAGATCACGTCACAGAAACATCTCCTACGATCATTGGCCAGATTAGATCAACGGCTTCTCGATTTATTGATAGCCCATCAAATATATCTTCCAACCTCCTCGCTTCTGACTTTTGATTTTACTGAGTAGGCGCGATTCCATCGTAGGTGTTACTGGTAAAGTGTCGTCAAACTATAAAACCTTTGGTATCTTCAATTTCAACGTAACTGCTGAAAGTGATTAGATTCTCTACGTCCTCATTAAGGATGAAATACAACGCACTTAACTATCCTCAACTACCAAAAGAGAACTAGCTGGCAAAACTAACAGTTATCCGTTTTTTCTACACTTACTAGTACAATAGTATTAGCACGATATCAATTACCACTGTCTTGACAACAACCATAAGAATACATGTCATTCGCAAGTTCGTTAGGTATCCTCACTGATACTAGAATCCAAAAGACTTTCTCTTTATAAGAGAAAATGATCTTATGAGACTTTCCACAGAGTAACAAATCAGATGTTTCTTAGTGCATTGTGCAGCCTCACTTACCAGTACTTTGAACTCGTCCTCACTTTTACAGTGAAAACATCTAAAAAGTACATAGTCTGTGGAGGTCAACACACTACACCGTCTCCTTTTCCTCAGTAGTTTCTTGACCTCTTTCATTACTCAGTGAAAACGACTTCTGCGCCTGTATGGTACGATGTTATGTACGCTTCAAATAAAGTTGTTCTTCGTCAAAATTAATTAGGCATTTTCCTACTGCAACACACTCATTTATGACTGAAAGCTGCTCTCACTACACACCTGAGAGCTTCTTCAAAGACTATCATAGTATCTGAACTTTAACAAAAATACAACATGGCAATTGTTGTCTGTAAGTGGCAGAACATTATAACAGATAAAATCTTTAGTTTCACGGGTGAACGCCAAGTTTAACAAACAAGACATTCGGATCAAACGATGACGAGTTATTTATGCTAGACTACGCAACATCCTCTCCCAAGGCCTGAATACTTGAGAAAAACCGGTTGCAGATTATCCTCGCTGCACTTTCGTTGGGCTGAGATTCCAGTTGAAACAGTCTTCCTTCACATTATATCGTAGGATATAGGTATTTTGTAGTCACTAACCGTCAGGCTTTAGGCTTTTACTATCTTTTATTTACTATTCAATGTCCTTTGTTCTGCCGCTCAAAGTCGAGATAGTTCAGTGTGATGAACTTTGCTACGGCTAAGTATTACTTTACAGTCGTGACTATTTCTCCAAATAAAATATTAGATCTTTTCCTTACGTCAGTATAATCCTGCTTTCTAGAGCTAGTGGACAGGAAACGTTTCCTTTCTTTCCAACCTTAGGGTCACATTAGGGTGACTTTATGTCAGGCGGTCCATTCAACCTCCTATATATTCCTGTGGTTTTTTTATATGGACTCCATCTGAATTGCCTGGCTGTATACTATGGATACACGTTCCTACCTTTTCTTGATAATGTACATGTCAAGTTTTAAGATTTGGGTCCTCTGACTGCCACAAATTACCGGTCATCATATTACACCCAACTTAATATTTTCCTCTAGGCAAAAAGCAGATTTGTGGTCTTGCATAGAGCACTGTAGAACGGTTCCATGACTCAAAACACGAACCTCGCAAAGACTGCTTACTTATCAAAAGTGGTGATTTACTTATAGTGGACGGTTTTGCAGTTAGCTATCAATTGACTCATGATCTCAACTATATAAAACTACTAAAATGTAATACTTAGAATATAAAACAGGTAAAAGTGAAAGAACATCTGTCAGATTTATAGATTGTAAGTGGTGGCGACACGCTCAGATTCCTAAAAGTTACTAAAAATTAAAAAAACGTAACTCTCCAAAATGAATTACGGAAGAATTTTAATCCAACTGATTCGAATGAAACCTATGTTTTGATGCCACAGAAGCATCAGAGATACGTTTGTTCGGAATGATTTTGAGGGTCAAAGACCTGCTTCAAATGCGAGCGATCCTGTAAATACCGAACATTTTAAGATTAATGAGGTGTTAAATGCAGAATACTTGGATTTCCAGTGTACCCGTTTTGTTGAAATTTCACTAGCTAATACTATTCAAACTCAAATAGATAAGAGGGCTACGGTGTTCATTAACTTAATTATATTAACAAGACAAGCGTTGAATATGTTACAGAAGATTTAAGTTCCACAAAAACTTCAGGCAAAAGTGTAACTTATTCGGGACGAATGATTAAATTCAATAATCATATGAAGAAAAATATCTGCGTATGTCAAGAAATAATATTACATTCATTTAAAACCATGTGCCAATCCAAGTTAGACAACCATTTAGAACCTGAGAGCATTGTGTTATTTTGCGGTGTCCCATACTAGGGTGGGAAGACTATCCAGTGCCTCTAGGTTCCCAGTGGTACTCTGACTTAGTTCGGTTCATAATTCAACGAGTTCCAACCATCTCTTCAACCCCATACCAACAGTATCATACCCAAAGTAAAAGAACAAGTTAATCCACTTTGCTTTAAAGATGGATAACCAAATATAAAGCAATAGTTATTCAAGAAATGCTACTAATTATCTATTGTCCTTAAACAAACATGAAGCACGCCTTAACATTAATAACAGAAAAGAAGAGAAATTATTTCACTATGTCACAACTAAAGTAGAGTAATCTAATATGATGACCGCCAAAGGATAAGTAAAACAAATATGGAACAGTTATTAGAAGACTCAGCTACGTAAGAGAGTTTGTTAAAATTCAGAATTTTTGTGAACAATACGGAGAGAATAATTGCAAGTAAACCAAAAAGGCAACAAACGTGTAAAAATACTGACAACAATGGAAAAAACGACACATAGTAAAAATAAGTTAATGGTCAAAATGAAAAACACACATAGAAAGATTTTCTCACATGTTCACGCAGGGACCTGACAAAATAGATTGAACAGGTGATTAATTTTTTGATCGTGAATGTTAAGGCCATTTGTAACACACACAAAATGAAGAGATTCTTGTTCATGCTTTAGTGATTTGAAGAACAGGATACTAGTAAGGTTAAACAAAGGGAATACACTGAAGGTCAGTGATAAAAAGAAAGTAAAAGCGTGTCTTGTTGAAAACCAGTACACAGACATCAAGTTTTAGACTAAAACATTGGGGGCCACTTTGGAAAGCTGTCGCCTATTTAGACAAGAAGAGAAGTCAATAGGACTCAGGAAAAACATCAAGCACAGCAAGTAAGAAGGTCAAAAAGATCTAAATTCCGGTGACTTCCTGACACGCATAAGGTACTACGTCTTTGTGATATTTAAGAATTT